GTGCACCATTTGGTTGCAACTCAAAGTCTTCAAATAAGGATAACATCCTTTTACTGCCTGCCAGCATAAATTTGGTCTTCTCGACATTTATAGTCAACCTGTTATCAGTGTACCAGTTACTGATTTCAGTGAATTCACGTTCCAGAGCAATTTGAAGTTCTTGACGTGTTGATACGTCACAAAATAGAACAGCATCATCTTTAACTTTAAAACGTGTCGTTGCTATGGGTGTCGTCATTTATTTTTAAGGTCCGGTATCAGCTTTTGTTATCGTCAAGGAAGTAAAAAAGAGATCGTTCCGTCATGATCTTTTAAAGTGACGTTGACATATACCGGCTCGATGTCTCAAGCCAGCGTGACGCCATCTCAACAATTATTCCGGGGTTATTGAAAAATGGAATAAGCCTCGCCCAATAATCACTTCCGCCCAATAAATCACTCTTCCTTTGTAAGGTCGCTCAACCTAACTGAATGCGTGGTCGTTACAATAGATTTCCATAAAAACGCTTTGTTGCTCTACTTCCTGATCACAAAGCTTTTACCTTTCCTCTACATAAAAAGTACTGTGAGGTATTGAAATGATAGTGGACAACCTTTGGCCGAGATTAGAAAGTCATATACAAATCATCAAGAACGCATTTTTTTTTAGGTCAACACTCTGACAATTTGGTTTGTAAACAGCGAAGATAAAGATGTCTTTTACCGCCTGGATCAGTTTGTCACTCTTCTTTGCAATCACTGGCACCATTCCAGGTAAATGAAATATGATGTTACTCATCTAAAAGTTTCATCTGAGCTAAATAAGATGAAATCACTGTCGACAGTCGTAACATAATATAAACACTTGGGGGGGGGGGGGTGAATTCTTTCAACCCTTGACAAATTGAGTTATTTCCAGGTCCCAAAACCGCGCAGTTATTGTGAGGATGAAACCGTTATTAAAATCACTCAGTGAACCTGATAAGCTACCTTTTTAAAGTCGAGAAAAAAAAGGGTTATAAAAACAGTTTCTTCGCCTTTTGCACATTTCTGTTAGAATTGCATCCTTCTTGATGAAAAGATTGAATTTCAATTTTAATTTCAGCCTCCATGGCGAAGTCAATACCTACCTCTGAAGTAAGTTGATGCCTGTGATAGTAAAGTTCAATCCGAACTACCGTTTCTAAGAAAATATGACGAACATGTAAATACCTCGTTTATGAGCTATCTATATACGTTCATGACGATTTATCGGTTTAAAAAGGTCTTACACAGTAAAACCAATGCGAGAAACGAGTGGAAAATGTTAGGCGTAGAGAGAGATGCGTTTTACGATGGGTGGATGAATATACTGTTCGATTTTCAAACAAAATTTTATTCTCTTAATCCCTCATATTGTACTTTTGTAGTCCCAAGCTTTACATGTCTTTAAAAATTATCTTACGGTATATAAGTGAGCGTTGAAAACGAAAACCAAAGCATCTGAAGCGGTTGGAAAGAACAAAAGATGATATCACGGGGAACAGCGACCGCTCAAAGACCTCAAAGGCAAAACGTGTTACATGGTAAGTGAGATCCTTATTGAAATAATTTTGATAAGAACTTTAAATTATCCTCACATGCACTTACTCCAAACTGGTCTTTTATATTGCAGATCACAGTCACCCTGAAACTTGACTGGAATGTTACCGATGTTCCTAAACCGATTCCAGCCAGCTACACCACAAAGGTTCCCAACGGAACTTTTCTGATTGACATTATGAACAAAGCTGCTGACAACGAGAAGGAAGGCCCTTTTGACAAATACAAAAGCACTTACTACAGCGTCATGGGATATTTCATCACCTCCATAAATGGCACAGAAAACAATCCTGACAAAAGCTCGTACTGGATGATTTATGATGAGCAAACTGGAGCTTCACTAAGATGTGGAGTGAGCTCGTACCTGCCTTCTAACGACTCCACCACTCTCTTCCGATTTACTAAACTTCCAAGTGACTCGAGTCATGGTAATAATGCGAGTACTAGTGGACGCTGTAAAAAGCATTCCAATCTACCGGTTAGTACCCAGTACACGCTTGATTTGTTTGAATGTGACCCAGGGAAACTGGGGTCAGTACATAAAAGTTAGAAAATTTGGGCAAAAGTGAAGGAAAGAGAGAAACTCATTTTTCAGTGAACTGTTGATGAGACTTGCTATTTTTAGTAGTGATTTACGAGAAGGAAAGAAAAGATGAAAGGTAATAAATTAAACCATGAAAGTGACAGTTAGTTCCTTTTCATCAATTTTCGAGGGAAATTTAGCAAGGCAATGCAACATGAATTACACAGCATTTCGCAGCGATATGAACACATCAAAAACGAAATACACCTTACAATTAATGAAATATGAAAGACGCAAACACTTGCAGCTTATTAACAAGTAAACGCGATACAAGCGGGAAGCGGTGGAACAATGTTTGCGAAGTTCCGCACTCACACAAAGAAAGTCCAATTAGCGATTTTAACTATACACAAATGCGTTTGATTTCGTTCCAGACACCATCATCTGCGATCACAATTACAATTGGAATGGACTGGAATCCGGAAGTTATTAAAAAACCCGTTCCTCCCCCCTATTCCACCAAAGTGGCCAGTGGCACGACTCTCAGAGAAATCATCAACAAAGCTGCGGATAAAAATCCCAAGGGTCCTTTCAATAAATATACATCCACCTATTATGGTGGACAGGGGCATTTCATCACTTCCATGAACGGTGCTAAAGAGGTATGTGATCGGTAGCCATTTACTCTTATTTTGCATAATTTGAATTGATGGATGTCATCATTTTTCACCTCGAGATGTTCTTGCAGGTCTGAAGCATTTTTTGGAGTCCAAGTTGGTCATTACAAAAGCTGCTTATACTGCGAAACATTAAACCTTAGGACGGAACAAAATGCAACAAATATCCCCAATCCTACACCGAAATTCTCCACCTTCCTAATCCAGTAGAGAGGGGTAGGAGCACGCTGACCAAATTGCACCAAAATGTGGAGGTGGGGGCGTAAGTGCAAATATTACTCTCACTTACGTAAGGCTAGTTTAATCGAGTTTAGATTATCGCTGCATTAACGCTTCCTGTTTCGAGTGTTGAGGATTCTACCAAGGACTGGCAGTGGAAGATTTACGACAAAGCCACTGAAAAACTCAGCGCACCCTTTGTAGATCAGTTCAAACCACAGGACGGCTCAGCTACGATCCTTAAGTTTATCACAAGCAAGGAATCTGAGCAGGAGTTCAACTCTAGTGGAGAATTTGTTGGGATGGGATTGGTATTCCTGTGCATCTCAGCCATTGTGGAAGGCCTGCTGTTTTTGTAACTTTTAAAGGTTAAAAAAAAAAAACGCCTTGATTACGTAATGGCTCTAGTCAAAGAATCAATTTCAAGTACTACGCAAACCTTTTCACGGTGGAATTTTAGTAGTACGCTAGCATTACATTGTATTTCTAGATTTTGAGGTGTAGAAAACTTCCGTCGTTAAAGTTACACATTTAGCTTTCTACGGTGTTTTACAAGTAATTTCAAGAAAATACTTAAATGCTTTTGGATGCAATTTTAGATATAGTCAGTTGACTTTTATAACGAATGTAGTAAGGCGTCGAAAAGAAAAACTTTTGTGGCTTTTCGTAGTTTTGTTAGGCTTTGTAATCTTTGTAATCTTCAAACGTGTTTAATCTTCGTTGAATTTCGCTTTTTTCAGTTATTTTATGAGAAGAATAAAATGGTGAAAGATATACATTTGTGTTTTATTTCAGCTTTGTTAGATTTTTGTTTGCTGTCATCGCTCTCAATGCTTATAATTTCAAATATCAAAACGTGTTTAATCTTCGCTGATTTTCACTCTTATTTCAGTTAAGGAAAATGTAATGCTGCGATATATTAATGATTTGTCATTTGTCTGTTTATTTGATGTTGTAACGTGCGGTGTCAGTCACATCTTAGGTTGTATGCTGTAGGGATAAGCTTTTTCAAATTGATCTGGTTGATAAACGTTTTCAACCGGTTTAAAACCTGTTTGAGTTAGATGAAAAAGCATGGATAGCGACCGCTGTCGTCTACGCGGGCTTATTAACGTTTAACTCTGGTTGCCATTAAATAATGGTTGGGGATGAAACGGTTGATGTCAATAAAACACAGCCTACGGTTTTTTTTCTCGATACGGGATAGTGATTTTTTGAACCCAAAAAGTTTCCGTTGATTTTGCATGAATACTTGATGAAAATGTTGACCGTGCGCTTCACAATTTTTTTTTTTTTGAGATTCCCTAAAGGTAGTGAAAAATCAGACATTTTCTCACTGAATGTAGGAAGAATTTAGGAATACATTTGATTTTGCAGCATAGGTTAGACGAGACTTCATTCTCCATGTTCTCATAGCCATTTTCATCCTAGCATCTCTAGTGAAGCGTAAAAACAAAGTTCATCGGAGGACATGCGATGATAATTTTCAGTCCAAAAAAAAAAAAATCCCCGTTGATTTTCCGTGAATAACTCATGAAAATGTTGACCGTGTACTTGACATTCCTTTGGGGATTCTTTTACAGGTAGTGAAGCCTCAGTACTTTTCAACTGAATGCACAACCAAGGAAATTAGACTGTATAACTCTCCCCAGTCTCCATATTGCCCGACCTTCACACCCTAATATCTCTAGTGAGAACACAAAGTCAAATTTTGTCCTTTAACACTTCTAATGGGGTTTGGAAACTTTTAGTCGAATAAGCTCTCCGTTGCATCCCACCTAATTCAGTTCGAACAGCCGTGATGTTTTTTTGAAGGTAAATTGATCGCTTAACCGTGATCCGTGTCTTGAAAAGTTGAACTGGGTACGAGTGTGCAATGAGCCTATCAAATTCGTGGACTGAGTTTCTCGGCCAATCCAGAAAATAAAATTGTTGTGCTACGCGGAACACATTCAATTGCTGCGTTGACCTAATCTTTTGAACGCATTTTTGGATATTTTCAACCTATTAGCTACTCCAGGTTTCCATCAGCCATCAACGGTTAATCTACAAAAATTCAGCTCTACACAATTACACAAAGGTAAGCAAACTGAATTATCGTAGAAAAGAGACTATAAACAGTCGCTATTCTATTGTAGAAAATGAATTTTCATAAAATTGTTAAAATAGTTCTGTTTGTTTGCAAGTTTGCGCTGTAGTGACGAGTAATCTCCAATTTTTTCGCTGTATGGGTCTAGTTTAAGTGAAGAAATCTCAGTCGAGTTTTCCTGTTTTATCGTGGCTCGACGAATAAGCTATATTAAGAAATTTGTGTGCATCACGATGTACGAATTTTTTCCTGTTACAGTGGGCCACCGATCAAGAAATGACCGATTTCGAGTGACTCGCAAGTCGCAACTACTGACCGAAGCTATTTCGTCGTACAACTTTAAACATAGCTTTACAGACCCGTCTAACAACTTTTGCGAGTTTAATTGTTGAAATGAATTCAATTTAGATTAAGAAGTTGAGAAAATCAGCTCGTAGAATCGCTGGTTTATCACGAACCTGAACAAACAGGAAGTTATGTACAAAATTTGAAACGTGACGTTACTATGGGTGACGTCATTTATTTGCGAGTGTTCCACTTTCGGTTTTACGAGCGGAAGTAATCTTGGCTGACTCGATTTTTCTCGCGATAATATTCGCGGCTGCGTCAAAACATAGAGGCTCGAGCTCAGAGCCATAAGGCGGAGACTTAACAAAAGGAGCCATCGAAAAATATTTTGGTAAAGACCGATAAAATGAACTTCAAAGCGGTCTGTCTTTTGCTCGAGGAGACTTTTAAAATATATTGTCTTCGTCATACTATGTCTTCATTCAAGAGCAGAGCCAAGTCACTGTTAATATTCTCTCGGATTAAGTCTGCGATGTTCTTAATATTTGATGCATGCGAGATATTTCGGTTTGATTTGTTTGGCATCCGGGTGAAGAACTCTATTGGCGCTGTTCTTTCGGTCTTGAATTGATCAGAACTATTATATTAATTATATATTAATTATATATTATATATTAATTATATATTAATTATATATTAATTATATATTATATGTTAATTATATATTATTATATTATTATATTAATTGAAGTGAAACAAGCTGACATTTTTGTTATAATTATATATTATATATTAATTATAACAGTTATAATTATATATTATATATTAATCATATATTATTATATTATTATATTAATTGAAGTGAAACAAGCTGACATTTTTGTTTCGTAACAAGACTGAATTTCCTTCTTGTCATGCCTAACATGGCGAAGCATATAGTAAAGTTTACTGACATAATATATGAAGTGTCAATTTCATAATTCTTCCCCATACGAAAAGGGGCATCAACGTTTTATCTTTCTGTTTGGAGAGTAACCCAGCTCAGGATCGCGGCTGCCGGACTGGATATAATCGGTACCAATTGCAATGTCTTTGTTGCCATCCGATCGTAATAAATAATCTGTAGCGTGAAATTCACGATCAAATAGCTCGAGTCTGTATACGATCCAGTTGAATTTTTCTTTACCTGTATGTTTTGATGGCGTTGAGTAAGATGATAAAGTTTTAACATATGTACTTTATCACAATGGCTCATTTCGGCGAAGGTTGCGACGGGACTTTCTTCCAATCTCCATCAATCTCGTTTCCAAGGCTCTTTGCTACGGAAGACGAGTCAGAGAAACCCTGGGAACGAGGTTAAACCCTCCCTGACAGCATCACGATTTTATACCACCAAAATAGCAAACGTGATATTTTGCATCTACTTAGAACGAGATGGACATGATCACTGTTACAATCGCACAGGACTGGGATGTTACCATTGTGGACAAACCAATCCCTGCTCCCTACACCACCCAGGTGCCTCAAGGTACGATTCTTGTTGACATAATGAAGAAAGCTGCTGACGAAGATCCACAAGGGTCGTTCAATAAATATTCCACCACCTACTATGGTGGTCTGGGGGATTTTGTCATCGCCATGGATGGGATTCAAGAGGTATTGTATTATCATAATTCAGTTTTTCTTTGTGTTCATTCCTTGGAAGAATGTATCAAAGGGGGAGTGGGAGGGGAGAGAGAGGTGTTTTAATCACATTTTACGTTCGAATGTGAGAAAAAGCCGCGCTTCACGTATACTTTAAACACTGTTTCGTAAATCATGAACTTTAAGTTTCTCCTCTTGTATGCGAGGTTTCCATGCCAACAGAAATGCCTCTTCATGATATGCTCTATCTCATATTTCTTGTCGCAAATTTTGAATTAAGATACCATTGTGAAGAAGTCACCGGACAAAAATTCTCCAATAACTAACATTTTCTTTTTTCATTTTTTGACGGTTCAGGATCCCGCCCACAAAAGATACTGGTTGATTAAAGACAAAGAGAGTGGACATCTTACCCCAACAGGAATAGACCAATACCAACCAAAGAACGGCTCAACTACAGTTTTCACTTATGAAACAGGCGCGAGTCACTACGAAAGACTGACTCGTGCTTAAGCGTTTCGTAGAAGAGGGTCTCTAGATAAATTGTCACCGAAACCAGAGATTGTTTTGCATTAGTACACCAGCTATAACGAGACATTAAAAAAAAAAAACAAAAAAACAAAAAAACAAAAAACAAAAAAAAATTGCTGCGCAAATGATAGTTTCCACTGCTGCATCTCAGTAAATTTGGTCATATATTAACTTTAGCTTTACTTGAGATTTAAAACGTGTTTTGCTGTATTTGTGAATTGTTCCCAAAATATCATATTGCAATGCTGTTGCACTGAACTAATTTTAAAACTACTTTTAAGTTTCATGTAAATTTAAGTGAATTTAATATAAACGCTCACGTTTTTTTAATTGGAAACTGTTTCAGTTTATTTACTTATGAAACGTTGGAAAAGGCTATTTTCACACATTACATAAGTTTTCCATTTTTCCATTTATTAAATACTGGTTTCTAAGCCCTATGAGTTCCTGTCGTAATATATCCGATGATGACCGAGCCCTTTCTAATTTCTTGATGATTATTTCTATACATTAAAACAAGAGCAGTTTTCAATTATGCGTCCAACGTAATTCCGCAGGGCATCGGTTTTGGTTCACAACGCCCTGTAATTGGTCTAGGAAACCCACGCCATCCTTGCTGCCAATCAGATGCAAAACTGAAACTAATCACGACTTCGCCACTTGCCGGCGTTTTCCCGCGCTTAACACAGTTCACATGTGTTTACTGTGATTTCTTACAACTTTCCTTCATTCTTAAAATCTTTTTTTGACTAGCACCAGTAATTTCTTTGGTTTCATTTGTCAATACCCAATGAAAAAGTGCTCGCAAAGAGGAACTATTTAACACATCATATTTTCAACACCCTTTCAGGCGAGTGCATTGAAGTCAAACATATATTACCATGAAGGGACAATTTTGTATTTTGTATATATTCAAGGTCAATCACGTGCTACACACGAGAAAGAGAAATAAGAATTTTTCCATTTAACCTTGCTACTTCCAGGAGTGATCAAGACATAATTTCTCCTTAAAATATTCATATAACACCGGGCAACCAAGTTATGAGAGTAAAGAAACATATCAATTAGGGGATTATTAGTTGATTAAATACCAAATTCTCAGAACAACCTTTACAGAAAACGTATGGCAGACGGTAGGGAGAATTTTCATCGAGATATTGGGAATGAATGGTGTAACACGAAAACCAAGAAATTGCTTTCACTGCTAAAATGACCATCTAAACTTTTGGTGGGGATAAAATCTATCATAAAAGCAATACAGGTATTATTAAAAAAGGTAGAAATAAATAGTAACTTAATATCAATGAAACTCTGAGATCGTTTTCCAAGAGGAAATCCAAAAACAGAGTACTTTGAAGTCAATTCGGTGAGGATGTTTCTTCCTCACTGCAAACCATCAATAATAAATTAAGACTGTACAAATTGAACATTAATTCGACATCATGGTGTCCACATTCTTGCTTTGAACTACGTTTAAAATGTACATTTTGAGGCAGGATGGAATGTTAAGAGAATTGATAATATCAATATTGCAGGGAGACAGTAACTTGCGAATGGAAAGACGGCAAAGGCGCTTTAAACTTACGGGTTTTCCTGCAGAAGAAAAAAAAGAAAAAAAAAGGAAATCACCAAGAATAACAGATGATTCAAGTTGAACTGGTCAATGTCACAATTTATGTGTTGAAGAAAGAGCTGATCCAGTGAAAGCTTTGAGTCTCAATTCGTTGATCGCAGCACGCGAAAATTGTGCCGCCGGCAAAAAGGGCGGGAAAATCAGGTATCTGTGGCATGCAATCGGCGTATATTGCGGGAAAATAGAGTAGCGTGCGTATCGAAAGAAAGTAAAAGGTACAAAGGCGGAAAAAAAATTAAGTATCTTAGGAACACAGCAGTCAAACGTCTGCGCATGTACCAACGATGTACTGAATGGGTAGCTTACTTTCAGATGTCAGAACTAAGTTGTTTCATGCCACGAGCCAGTAAGTTACGGTGTTATAAAAGCGAGCAACTTTTTTCGTAAAGCTCAAAACGGTAGTAAATTGACAGGATTCCGTTCTTGAATAAGCTTCATAAAAAGTGTTGAACTTTCCTTTTCCCCACTTTTGTTTTCCTTCACAGATTTCTACGAACGTTTCAATTATATTCTGCGTTTGCGAGACAGCAGTTGTTGCTAATGTTCTCTTTCGAAATTTTGCGTGGGAAGTTGGGGCGGGCGCGGGCGGCCAAAATTGATCACCTTGCGCATGCCTGACGTTTGACCACTGTGTTTACTTTTTAGACTTGTCATCGGGGATAGTCGGTACAGTCATGAAAAACGCGCGAAATTATTGCAACCGAATAAAAGCACGGGATGGTCTTGGATCAGCGTAGCTTTTGAAAAAAAAAAATGCACACTGGTTTTCCATTCGTCACGCTGACCTGATTATCCCGAATGGATAAATCCCAGCGACAAACAGTTCCAATGAAATAAAGGAAATTCACGATTTAAGAACTCACCATGGCTGTCCCAAAATAATTCTAAAAGCTGCTGATGTGATAAAACTGTTTCCACATTTGGACCATTTCCGTAACGAGTCAACAATGATTGGACGAGAGTCTCTGCAGAGTTACCGCTGTCATCTACGACGTCACTTCGGGCGCCATACTCTATCAAAAGGTGTGACAATGGCTCCGACTCCTCCCCCCTGAGGGCTGCAAAGCAACAATGTAGTGTGGTTGTGTGATCGCACTCAAAAGCCCTTTCCCTACCAACATTTATAAAGCTTTTCTCTACTTTTCATGATTTTAACACCATGAAAAAGTTCATAAAGACGGTTTTCGTTTAGCCAGTCGAAAGTGGTCTTACAGTTGTTGGTATTCGGCCGAAGGTTTCCAATTTTTTTCTCAGTGGAGAGGTCGACGGACTACAAGGTCGGCGGGAGCTCGTCCGACTACAGATCGAGTGCTAGCCGACAATTGGCCGACTAATGACCGATAGTGTGGTTTTTTGTAACTGAGTTAATAATGTAAATAGGCCACCGTAAAGGGTTCCTACGCTGACGTATCAAGCGTTAGCTCACAGGCGTCAGAGCAAATGAGTCGATATGTCGACTGAAGCCGACGTTAATTACACATGATCCAAAATTTTAAAGCTGCTCTTTCTCAAAATGGAAATAAATACTCTGCAACAATTTAGTGTGTGGTAAGGTTTTAGGGATCCACATACCAATATGAAGAGGAGTCAAGCCACCCTCAGCTGGGACATTTGGATCTGCCCTAGCGTCGAGTAAATACTGGACACAAGCCACTCTCTGTGCTTCACACGCCACGTGCAAGGCTGTCTTGTAGTGAGCCTTATCTCTTTGGTTCACACATGCTCCATACTCTAACAGCAGCCTCACAACATCACTAGAAAACAAAAAGAATTTCTTTGATTGCTTTGTTTCGTATGCCGTATGAAGACAGATGGTTCACTTTCTAGCCTAGTGGGTAAAACGGAGGTTATCACCAATCCAGGACCGAAGGTCAAACGAGGCTTCAAATCTCTTTTTGAACAGAATTGTACATTACGGCTAAAACATTTACGCATTTCATATCCTGCGAGCGCTGCAAGGTACTCGTTTCTCCGCCCGCGGGAAGATTAGAAGCAACTCAGAGAAAGGTTTATCGGGGGTCTGGCACCAAAAATGCTAGACCCCCTGCAGACATACCGCGGGCTGATGTTCCTCTAGTCTTTATACTTTCCCGCGGACGATGACGGGCCGAGGAGCTGGTAACAAGCGCCAGCGCGCAGACCAGGCCTTTCGTGTTCCGTGTTATCCCTTAAGCTTTGGTGTTTGGTTATCAAAAAATGTATTTCAAAATGAGAGTCCTTTGATAATTCTCACTTGGTAATCTTTATAGTTTCAGAAAAAAAAAAAAAAGAAAATCTGTAAGTTTTTGGTTTAAATTCCCCGAACCGTTTGATAATTATGTTTTGCAATTGCGTGGAATTTTCTTGGCCTATCACGACAAACTACTCAAGTTTTTTTCTACTTAGACCTCTTGAACCGTTTAACAAAATTTTGACATTGTTATATCTGTGCCTCACACTAATTACACAATTTCAATCCTGCGTAAGATTGATGCTGTCATATCAGGAGGCCGTTTGCAAAGATGACTACCATCAATTCTCCAAGAAAATAACCCCGAAAGTACAGTCACATGATCTACGACAGGACAACATAGTAACAAGGTCTATTTTTCACTTACATTTCTAAAATTCAAGCATTCATGCGCACATGGATATTTTGAGTTTTGACAGAAACAATCCCACAGAGAAGCTTGACAAATCAACAGTGGTTTAGTGTGGTCTGCACTCTTATCACTAATGATGTTCGCCATCACAGTGGTTAAAATGTAGTGGACCCATGAGGTGGATCCTCAAACAACGTGCAGGCGTGATGTCATACAGAGACAGACTTTTAACTTTGAAACTTCTTCCTCTGACATTTGACCGCGAACTCNNNATGGTTCCTGCCCCTGCCATCCCTAGTTTTTAACCGTTTTTTGGTTGATCGTGTTTGAAATCATTATCTGTACCATGGGCGGTGCCTCGCATGGCTCCTCGTGTCCCGAACGCACCAGACCTTTTCACCTTTTCTCCTTATCACTTTAAATCACTTTGTACATATATCCCATTTCTTTTAGGTCCTCTAATTTGCTGTATGTAATATGTGTAATGGTCAATAAAGTTGTTAAAAAAAAAAACATTTTTACTACAATATAGACATCAAATAAAACGATTCTTTCGTTGCGTGACACGTTGTGTGACATGTTGAAGCGAGCAGCGTAGGCTGCACTCTTATCGACAACACCAAATTGGCCAATCAGATTCTGACATTACTGCCAATTTAAGTAAAAATCACATTCTCTGTGATGCAAGAAACACCAACCCAAGTTAAAAAGGTCTATTGTTTATGACATACTCATTAAGTGACTCAAAGAACCAACCTATGAGCTCTTTGTGCTGCCAGAAATAAAGGTGTTTGACCCCAGGCCTCTTCCACATTAACCAGGGCACCACCTGCCAGCAGCACAGCCGCACAGTCACAGTGTCCAAAATAAGCTGCTTGGTGTAAGGGGGTGCTACCAAACCTGACAACAGATATAAAATAAGTTAGACACTTATCACCTGCTCTTTCAATACTGCCTGATTGATATTGTCTGTTCTCCTGCTTTCTTATTTCCTGGTAGATAAGATTGTTTGTTTTCCACTCCTCTTTTTTTTCCTGGTCTGTAACTGGATGACCAACTGGCCAAACAACAGACTGACTGACCAACCGACTGACCAACAGATAGACTAAACGAGAATGGCTACATCATCAACAATACCATAAAGATTTATCCAAAAACTCTCACCACGGTAACAATTCTGTTTCCATCTTTTGTCAGTTTTCCTAAATGATAAGCGATGTTACTGTGCTCAATAATATTTTATTTATATCTATCAATTGAAAATTACCTTGACGTACAGTTAACATCTGCCCCATGATCTATCAACAGTCTCACACATTTGACATAGCCATGATAAACAGCAAGATGTAGTGGAGTAAGACCATCTTTTTCTTGTACATTCCGTTTTGCTCCTGCCATTTTTCAAGATGGAGATATAGTTAAAACATAATTTAGGACAATTACCAGTAACAATTCATCAATAATTTTTAGATTATGCTTTAATTAATAAAATACCATAAAACTTGGTTAAAGAATGGCTAGGGTTTTTTAAAGGTATTTCATCACTATTTTTGTAAAACCACATCTCCCTTTCCTCTGTTAAAAAGATAGCTGAACTGGTGCATGGTCAAAAATTTTGCTCCCAAGACCACTCCCAAGAGTTCTACTACCAAGATTTTCATTCCCAAGATCTCATGAGTAATTCTCCTTACTGTCCACCACATGATTCTTATGAAGTTTGTTTGGAGAATTCAGTATTGAATCAATAAATAATCCCCTGGTCTATGTTCTTCTACATTCTCATCTTTTCTCTATTTGATATTGTAAAATGAAATTCTGTGTTGGTCACTCTTGGTAGTTTAAGGTCAGCTGAGCTTGTTAGCAGATGAACTAGCATGCACAATTATCACATGTATGAAAAGCAGTGTTTTAGTCTGCAAGTCTCATTCTCAGAATATTAATGTGCAAGCTATTTCTACCCTGTTGCTATTCCTGTCTTTCTTTTGTCTGATAATTTTTTTGAAGAGTTTTTGTACCTGCCTACAAACAATAGCCTGTTTATCACAATTCTCTACTTACATTGAAAAATACGTCTGGATATGGCAAATAGAAAAATAACCCATAAGTTCTCAAGGTTATGAGCTTACTTGCTTTCTAATTGATCAACAATTTTACTTCTCTGGGAGAGTTGACTCCAATCGTTTTACTCTCAACATCTTAAAGCTATCTCCTTGCTAATGGACACAGATAATCCTCTGAAACTGGTGTTGTAACTATACAATATCTTTTTGGCTGATAATTTTCAGAATTTACATAACTTATCTACATGGCAGTGGATCAAGTGTCTTACAATTCTGATCACTCCAGGTGAGATGGTCATTTAAAGAAGTTCCTAACAGTGCTTACCAGCATCCAAAAGCAGCTTCACACAACCCACACAACCCTTGGCGGCAGCTAGATGCAGAGCTGTCTGCTTTGTGTCTGGGTCTCTCAGGTCAGGGGAGATCTTCCTGTCATGGAGGGCCCACCGTAAGTCATCTTCACGGCCTTCGCGCGCCGTGAAGAAGAGTGTGTACCTCTGCCCCATGACTTTTGGAGCACAAAGTTAAGTATTAAATAGAGGTGCTGTAAAATAGTAATAATCAAAATAATCAAAAATTAGTTTGTGTGCTTCTGATTGCTACTACATCAAAGCTGAATAGGGCAAGGCACAAATGAGCCATCTTTCTGAACGGATCCACACTTTCATTTTATTTTGTTAACAACTCCACAATCATGGACTAGGCAGCCAGTAGTGTAGCCAATCAGATCGTAGTATTTGTAAAAGTTAGTGATTTATTCTAATAAAAATGGGAATTAAGTGTATTGTATCCTAATTCATCACTTCCTAGTGAAGATTTCTTAGGGCAATATATGGAAAATTTGACAAACACATCATGAGTATTTACAGTGCTTTGAACTGATGTAATTGCTGAAAGCACATATTTGTCTAACTGTGTGCAGTTGTCATTTAACTTTTGGAATCACATATCAAATTTTTTCGGACCTCGAAGTGTTCTTTGTTATGTAAGCGTGATGACATATCAAAAACAGTAATGCTGAATCATGTAAATTTTCATAAAAAATAGGAATCATGGTTGAATGCTTCTAATGTTCACCAGAATCAATTCTTTCACGAAATCATATACAGAAAGGTAATCTACCCTCAGAGATCAAGGGAAATTAGGGACGACAAACTAGAAGGTATGGAAAGCTACGAAACGAATTTGTAGATATGAAAAATTCAAGCAAATTTCCCAGATACTCAATAAAATATAACAACACCAAAAAGAAATCCGATAATTTTTGCATCTTGAATATTCTGTAGTACCATAAAGCCAAATGTTTGTAGTAGACAGCGGATCGATAATCGAGCAGTCCAAAGTTGTCTAGTAAATATTTCGTGACATATCTGGGGAAATTCACCGAACGTCAAAAGTGTATCAGTTTAATGTTTGGTTATAAACCATGATGTACAAATGGATAAAACTTCTTTTTGATGCTATAAATGTTTTGCTGTATTTTTTCAGTTAAAAACATTCATTGTATGGTACGTAACAAACCTTCGGAACAGAAAGAAATCTACGAGAAATATTATGTAAATCAAGTTCTTGAATCCCGACACCACAAATGAATGTTTGTTATGAACAGCTAGAAGACAGTGGGTCCCAGAAAAAACATTCTAGATCTCTTTAAAATTTTAACACAAATATCGTATGTAATCACACGATCAAAAGCGCAGAAAGACAGAAACTAACCTCTCTATTCCCTTCATTTCACACTCGTGGCCATATTTGTTTGTTTGCTAATTTTTGCTATTTGTTCCCAGACTCCCGCACACAAATTGACTCCTGAGCTCGTTGTTTCTACTGTCAGCAGTCACTCCGATTAGGGGATGTGTGCACTCTGATTGCGTTGCATCATGGTCGTGAAACAAAATTTGAGATATTTGCATCTTGACGCGTTAGAGTCAGCCTGCGTTAGAGTGATCTTCCTTGGTGGCAGCCTGGGTGGCAGCGAGATAGCGTGAATATACGTGGATTGTAATGGGGATTCACTGTCTACGTCTGTTGCCGTTCCTTCGAATATTTTAAAAAGTTTGACGGGCCTGTGACGTTCTTAGGAGGTAACTGACGTTATTAAGAAAGATTCGAAACTGCAATCTTCCTAAGAATCCGGCTCGACACAGATAGCAATAGTTACACTTACAACCGATGGCGGGATGAATAATTTCAAAGTCAGAAATGATATTCCTAGACGCGAGTTATTGAACAGCGAATTGACCCTTGACATCCAAACGCATATTAAAGAGACAGAGGCACCAACTTTTTTCCACTTTTAGCCCCACGCCTCCTAGGAACGAAGTTGTATCGCTCCACGTTTAGTAAAAACGTACAGAGTTCCAAAATACCCTTCGAGAATAGAGGAAACCTAGATGAGGATTTTGAGAAACGTATCTCTGGAGTTATTTCTGTAGGAGAGAAGTATACTTTGAAACAAAGAAAAAAGCGCGCATAGAAGAAAATATTACCTTTTGTAACACAATCTCATCCGGCTTTGCCAAACCTCAAGAACATACAGATTAGGAAATGACACCAATAAACTGACCCTTATTATCACATCGCAAAGGAAAGTCATCAAGAAATATCCTAATAAGAGCTAAACGTTGAGGGTAGAAGATTTAAAAGCGCTAGTGAAAGGTAAGAGACGCACAGGCCTATCAACACCTTTCAACGATCGACGGCCTTTTGCTTTCCGGCTTGCCGTCGTGTCGCCTCACGCAAGGTAGAGGTTTTCACGGATCAAGTGACTCTTTTCATTGCTCTAATTAAACTGTCCTCCATTCAATGATCAAGATAGTAGATTTACCACACGACACTCGCGATTAGTTAATTTTCCTTCACTTAGGGAAGTAGATTTACAACACGATTGAGTACTTATGATAGATGTCCTTGCAGTTGTAACGCTATGTAACGCAACACACTAAACGCAACAATAGGCCTTTTCGCTCCAAAAGGGTCTCAAACACTATCACTTAACGAGTATGAGAACGATCTTCGTAGTAACGAACACTTCTTGTGTACGGGATTCGAACCCATGACCTCTGCGATACCGGTGCAGTACTCTGGTCATTATGTTGGTTCGTAATAAACCCGTTAAGTGATGAGTCAACGTTGACTATTTTTTTAAAATCACTTTCACCAGAGTGTGGTGAGGGTCGCACAACAGAGCGAGGCTCCAAATTAAGTGCGCCCTATATCCCACCCATCCCACCCCAGGGGAGGACATCCATCACACAGTAATCTCGTGTGTGGGAAATTAACGTCTCCTACCCCAACCCTGCAGGAGACGGGACCTCCATTTATTCGTCCCTATCCGAGAAGACTAGAATATCTAACCATTTCTTGATGTTATAGAAAGGTAGCAAATTCTTCTCAATTATTTTAAGACCCTGAGTGTTGGTCCGGCCGGGGCTCGAACCCTCGACCTCCCGCACAACAGTCCAGCGCTCTATCCATTGAGCTAACCGGGAGGCGGTTA